GTCCTGGCTGAGCTGTGCTTTCGTCGGGAAGCTGAACGCCTCAGGCGGCCCCGGCACCCCCCTTCGTCCAGATAGTCACATTATGGATGTCTTCCAGACTGTATTTTCGGAAGCCATTTTTGGTTCACATATTAAAGGTTCCAGCTCGGGCTCCTCGTTGTCGGAATCTCACGCAATTGTACCAGCAGCTCGTTGGCCGTGGAAGAAATGGCCGCAGCCGCAGCCGCAGCCGTGGATTACAAGAACGTGGCCGAAGCAGGGGTGGTCGCCGTGAAGGGCTTCGCTGATGTGGGCGGCGCTGCAACAAGTGGTCAGTGCTGTGTAAACAAAGCGGCAAGGATCAATTGCACTTCCAATGGCGACGGAAAAGTCCTCGTCAAAGAGTGTCCAGATTGCGGTTACCAGTACTGCTCATATCATTTCCGTGCTACGGGAGCCTTGGCCAGTGGTGGGCATTGTTGTAGGAACGACCGGGGGAATAACCCCTCCAACAGTTGCTCAGTGCTTGGCCTGGCGCAGAACAGGTGCTCAGGGAAGCTCACGCAGTGCTTGAAGTGCGCCAAGAAGAACCCGACACAGTCCTGGTACTGCGCATACCACATCTCGGAAGGAAGCTGGTATGGCATGATGGGAGGGCACGTGTGCGGATGAGGCCACGGATCTTCGCAGGTGCCCAGACCGCAGCGCGCGCACCGACCTCTTTGCGAGAGTGCACCGTTGCGGTGGCGAGCGGCCCCAAGACTAATTGCTGGTTTCAGCTCGGGCTGAGGTCACACTTCCTAAGTAGTGAGGCCAATCCGCGCGAGGCGCACCTCCTTGTCGGGGCTCCAGAATTCGACCCGCTTCCGGCTCTGCGCGCACTGACCTGTTTGCCAGAGTGCGCCATTGCGTCAGTGAGCGACGCCAGCACCAGTGTCGATCTCAGCCGAGGCTGAGATCCCATGTTTAGTGGAATCAGCCCGCGGGGTGCCGCCTCCTCGTCCTCCCCTTCCCCGTTTGCCCCTCTTGGCCTGCCATCGCCCTGTTGGTTCTCCTCCCCATCCCTCCCTGCGCCTTTTCCTCCTGCCTCCCTCCCCCTCCCTTCTGCTTGCTCACGCTCCCCCATCCCTCCGCCAGATGAGGAGGAGGAGGAGGAGGAGGAGGAGGAGGAGGAGGAGGAGGAGGAGGAGGAGGAGGAGGAGGAGGAGGAGGGAGGAGGAGGAGGTGGAGGCGGAGGCGGAGGAGGAGGAGGAGGAGGAGGAGGATGAGGATGAGGATGAGGATGAGGAGGAGGAGGAGGAGGAGGAGGAGGAGGGAGGAGAAGGAGGAGGAGGAGGAGGAGGAGGAGGAGGAGGAGGAGGAGGGGGGGGGGAGAGGCTTCGGAGATTTTGGGGAGTCCAGAGGCTCGAGATGTTTTGGAGGCCCGGGAGGTTCATTGGCTGTTCAGGCTTCGGAGGAGGAAGAGGAGGGAGAGGAGGATTGGTGAGGCCCTGGGCTGCGCACGGGCAGCCCGCCCCCCTCCTCGGGCAGTCTTGGCTGGCCGCAACAGGCCCCCGAGTAGTCTGGGGCGGTCTCGAGGGCTGTCTGTGCGCAGCCCGAGGTCTTACCCAGAAGGAAGTTCCGTGCGTCCCGGAGGGGGCAGCAGGTCTCGGAGGTCTTGGGGAGTCCAGTGGTTCTGCAGGCTTCGGAGGAGGAAGAGGAGGAAGACGAGGAAGACGTGGAGGAAGCTCCGGAGGAGGAGAAGAGCGAGGAGGCCAGATGCGTTGTTGTTGGTGATGGAGGCCTTGGAAGGGTGGAGGAAGAAGAGGAAGAGGAGTAATAACAAGAAGAGGGAGCGGAGGAGGGAGAGGTTTTGGCCTGGCTTCCGGAACCAGGGGAGGGGGGCGAGGGATGCCAAGGAGGAGGGAGGGAGGGGGATTTTGTCCAGACTCCAGAGCCGAGAGACGAGCAGAGAGAGGAGGGAGAAGGAATGAGGGGAGAGGCTCGTCCGGGCTCCAGAATTCCATCCGCGTTCGTCTCTGCGCGCGCTGACCTCTTTTTGCCAGAGTGCGCCGTTGCGTCAGTGAGCGACGCCAGCACCAGTGTCGATTTCAGCTGAGGCTGAGATCCCCATGTTTTTTGAAATCAGCCCGCGGGATGCCGCCTCCTCGTCCTCCCTCTCCCCGTTTGCCCTTTTGGCCTTGCCATCGCCCTGCTGGTTCTCCCCACTCTCTCCGTTATCCCCTTCAATCCTCCCTCTTCATCTACTCCCTCCCTCCCCTCTTTCTTCCCTCGCGTCTCCCTGCTCTGATTCCCCCCCCCTCTTCCTCCTCCCTCCCTCCCCCACCCTCTGCCTCCGCCTCCTCCCTCCGTCCTCCTCCGTCCTCCTCGTTCTGGTCGTTCCCCAGCCTCGTCCAGCTCCTTCCTGGCAATATCGCTTCCCGACCCTCCTCCTCTCGGCGGCTGCGCCCGCGGTCTCTTCTGCGCAGTGCGCGGGCCCCTGCTGCAGGCGCCCCCGCGTGCGAGACCGCGCGCGGGCACCGCCGAGGGCTCCGCGGCAGGGCGCGCACTGACCTCTGCGACCCGCGTGTCCGGCTCTGCGCGCGCTGACCTGTGTGCGAGAGGGTGTGTGCCACTGCGCAGTCAGGCGTCAGGGCCAGTGTCGATCCCAGCTCAGGCTGGAATCCAATATCTAGTGAAATCAGCCCGCGGGGTGCCGCCTCCTTCGCTTCCCCCCCCTGCCCACTTTTGCCTCAGCTTCCCTCCTCTCTCCGCCCTTCTCCCGCTCTTCCACGCCGTCTTTGCTCGCTTCTTTTCTCGCCTCCTTCCTCCATGCTCCCGTTCCCTCCTGCCTCTCCCCGTCCTCCCTGCCTGCTCCCGCTCTCTCCGCCCTCCCTCCTTCCCCAGTGCCTCCTCTTTAGGACGAGCTCCTCCCCGCCTCGCCACCACGCGCGCCCGTACGCCGGCCGGGAAGTTTTTGTACGTACAACGTTTTTTCCCCAACCATCTTTTGGTGTTGGGTCCTCGTTTTGGAGCGACAGCGCCCCGCTCTCCTTCCTTCCTTCCTTCCTTCCTTCCTTCCTCCTCAACCGCCTCCTCCCGCTCCTCCCTCCATCCTCCATCATTATCCTCATCATCACCCTCGTCATCACCATCATCATCACCATCACCATCATCACCATCATCATCATCATCATCATCATCATTTTCATCATCATCATCATCATTTTCATCATCATCATCATCATCATCATCATCATCATCATCATCATCATCATCATCATCATCATCATCATCATCATCATCATCATCATCATCATCATCATCATCATCATCATCATCATCATCATCATCATCATCATCATCATCATCATCATCACATCACCACCATCATCATCATCATCATCATCATTTTCGTCATCATCATCATCATCATCATCATCATCATCATCCTCAACATCAACATCAACATCATCATCACCATCCTCAGTCATCATCATCACCACCATCATCCTCATCATCCTCCTCCTACTCCTCCTCTTCCTCCTGCTCCTCCTCCTCATCATCGTCATCATCATCATCATCATCATCCCCATCATCCCATGCGTCCGCGCCATCCATTTCGGCTTATCCCTCACATGCTTTGTGGTCCCATAGGGAGCTCCACCGAAGGCCCCAGTGGCACAGTTTACATGCGCCCCCGCCACCCATGTTGACATACCCCTCACACGGTTCGTGGCTCCATACGGAGTTCCACCGAAGGCCCCAGTGGCACAGTTTGCATGCGTCCCCGCCACCCATTACGGCACACCCCTCGCGAGGTTCGTGGCCCCATTGGGAGCTCCACCGAAGGCCACAGTGGCACAGTTGACATGCCCCCCCCCCCATCCATTTCGGCACACCCCTCACACGGTTCCTGGCCCCATAGGGAGCTCCACTGAAGGCCCCAGTGGTACCTTTTACACGCGTCCCCGCCACCCATTACGGCACACCCCTCGCGAGGTTCGTGGCCCCATTGGGAGCTCCACCGAAGGCCACAGTGGCACAGTTTACGTGCGCCCCCGCCAACCATGTCGGCATACCCCTCACGCGGTTTGTGGCTCCATAGGGAGCTCCACCGAAAGCCCCAGTGCCACAGTTTATATGCGTCCCCGCCACCCATTTCGGCACACCCCTCACACATTTCGTGGCCCCATAGGGAGCTCCACCGAAGGCCCCAGTGGTGCAGTTGACATGCGTCTTTGCCACACATTTCGGCACACCCTTCACACGGTTCGCGGCTCCATAGGGAGCTCCATCGACAGGTATTCAGGCCGTGCGGTGCGGCCCAGGCTTTCTGCCACCTCAGCCACGGCGCCGTCGCCGCCTAGGCTGCCGCGCGTCACTCGAGCTTCGACCTGGTGCAGGTCGGCTGCTATCTGTCTCCGGGAAGCAGCGCAGATCGAGCTGCCGCTCGCCAGGTTCGGAGCCCTGCGCGCCTTGGGCAGGCTGGCTGGCAGGCCGGCGTCCGATCTCACAGAGCTGCAGGGCGTGGTCAGCATCATCGCCAGCGGCGCGCAGGATTTCTCCCTCGAGCAGCTTGATGTTCTCAGTGTGGCGTGTTTCAGCTGGTCTGAGGCAATGGTCAAGACGGATCTCGATCAAGCCTCCAAGAACTACAACGACTGGGTGCTGCACTCCGTCGCCACGGGCTCAGGCGGCATCCATGCTGTCACGAAGACGGTTCAGTCTTGGAGTGCGAAGCCAGCCAACACTCCTGGTGTGGCGCCCACCATTCAGCAGAGCCTGCAGGCGCTGGTCGACGAGTGGTCCACTTACTGGGACGTCGTCGCCCCCCAGGCTCTGCCAGTCCAGGCAGCAAGTGGTGGCGTTCAAGAGACTGAGCCAAAAGTTGGAGGTGACAAGGGGGACCTTTCCCGACGCAGCCACAGTCCCCCGCAGTCGAGCAAGGCTCTGCCTTGGCCTGAGGACTTCGGAGAACGCCCCGATAGGTCTTCTGTGGCTGAGCTGCGGAAAGTGATCTCGTCTTTCAAGCCTCAGTCTGGGTCCAACTTTGACAGCATTCGTCCAAGTGAGTTCAACCTGATGGATGACCGAGGCATCGAGGCGCTCATTGATTATGGCTATCGAGCAGCAAGCAGTGGCCCAGCTTCACCACCAAGATGGCCTTCATTCCCAAGGCAGATGGAGGCCTTCGACCCATCGCGTTGTTGGCAGCGGTGGTCAGAGTTCACGGCAGGCTTCGCAGAGCCATCATGCAGCAGTGGGAGAAGGCCAGCGACAGGCCCTACTGGTGGGCGTGCTCAGGGCGCTCATGTGACAGAGCGGTGTGGCAGCAGCGGACGAGATCGGAGTGGATTGCGAGGATGGCTGAACTTCATCCCGATCAAGACTTGGTCGTCTGCCAGCATCCTGCTGGACCTTTGGAAGGCATTCGGGCAGGTCTTGCATCGGTGCCTCGTGCAGGCAGCCATCAAGTTCGGCCTTTTGCTCTGGCTGGCCAAGCTGCAGATCTCTCTGTACCGTGCGCCGAGGGTGCTTCATCTCGACGGGTGCTGCTCGCAGGAGTTGCAGGTCCTTCAGACGTTGCTCGCTGGAGATGCGTTCGCCGCGGGCTTCATGAAGCTCATGTTGTTGCAGCCGCTCGACGAGATGGTCGCGCGGTTCGGGGCCGTCGCGCTGGCGATCATTGTCGACGACCTGGTGCTCCGGCGCTGGGGCGGCACCGGGCGTGTGCAGGACGATGTCGTGGGCGCTACCCGTGTATTGGAGCAGCAGCTGAAGAACGTCATGCTCAAGATCGCGGTCAAGAAGTCTGAGGTCATGGCAACTCACCAGGTTTTCGCGGCCACATTTCGGGGCGCCTGCTCAAGATTGCTGGGGTCCAAGGGGCTCGTCACGCGCGCAACCTGGGCATCGATCGTGCAGAGGGGAGACGTGCAGCTCGGGCCCTTCGGCAGCAACGCCTCGCCAACGTCGAGCTTCGCCTGGGCGAGGCGCGGTGCTTCTTGGGCCTGAGGCGTGGGCGCGCTGCAGCGGCCAAGGTTGCGTCCGCAGGCCTCCACCCTTCGGCGCTGTGCGGCGTCAGCTGCGCTGGCCTCAACTCCAGCGAGTTGCCCAGGGTGCGCTCCATCGCGGTCAGAGCCGTGGAGTCGC